AAGTGTACTCACCTGACCTGTATACCACGTGTATACAGTATGTACCTGGTCTAACAGAAGCATGATGAGAAGAACAATTGGAGCAGATATTCAGCTGAATATCTGAACTATAACTGTTTAAAAAAAAACATTGTTTTTCGCTTTCCTTTAAATAACAGCAAACAATAATAAAATAATAATACTAAAATGATAATTATCTAGCAGTAGTATGCTTTAACTTGCTTCAAAAGCCAATTGAGGAATCTGAATCTATATGCGCTATCACGATTGGGAAAAATCTTGAAGCCATAAATACAAACCTCATATACTGTAAACAAATAAACAGGCTATCTGCGGGTTCTTAAAACGTCTTAAAATGTCTTAAATCTCAAAAGCTTAATTTTAGGCCTTAAAAAGTCTTAAATCCTTAAAATATCATATCTTTTTAACATATCTTAATTGTCCTCTGTTCATGTATAGATACTTAGTCTGGTCATTAACACCCATACAATCCCAATCTCAATAAAATTTCTGTTTAAACATACCATTTTCAACTCTATTTATAATACCCATAATGTTTTACAGAGCCCCTATTATGCATTAAAAGGTCATATTTTGGTTTTGGGGGTCTCCAACAACAGGCTGATATGCTTACAAGGTCAAAAAACACTTTCATTGTTTTATATTATGCATTTATTTTTACCTAATTATCCTAAAAACTTCCGTATGATTTGTTCACTTGTGTAAGAACAGCTGATGGTGGCCATAGTATCGACAAACGGCAGAGAGCCGCGAGCTCACAAGCGTAATTAAATCCATAAAGAAAGCATCACACGTTACCAGGGCCGGAGCAAGCTAAACTGCCGCTCTAGGCAGAGGACGATCATGCCGCCCTCAACCCCAATATGTGAAAACGAAAGTGACCGGTTATGAAAATGAAGTGAGGTGTCGCGGACCTTTATTCTGCCGCCCTATGCGCGGGTATAACTGAGGACGCGCGGGTGCTGAGGGAGGGAGGGAGGGAGATGTCGCCGACGCTGCTCCCTCTATTCTGCCGCCCTATGTGCGGAAATAACTGAGGATGTGCGGGTGTCGCAGACATCTATTCTGTCGCCCTATGCGCGGATATAACTAAGGACACGCGGGTGCTGATGGAGGTGTCGCTGACGCTGCCCTCTCTATTCTGTCGCCTATGCGCGAATATATCTGAGGACGCAGATGGTGAGGGAGGTGTCGCGGACATAACTGAGGACGCGGGTGGTAAGGGGGGTGTTGCGGACGCCGCCCTGCACGTTACATTTTCAGCATGGCTTGATATGTGAATACAAAGAGTTAACCAGATACAGTACAAGCCACTTGGAGCAGTTACAAGTAACAACACACAATTAAATACACATATTGCACGACAGAGAAAACAAGGAGGTAACCATTTTAAACGGACTTACTGGAAGAAACTGGTTCATCAACTGTGTACTGATAAAGTTCCTGTCAAGATCTGACAAAGTCCCATACATCAATAATTTTTTCTGATCTTTCCTTTAACAAATGGCCGATGTATTCCCCATTGTAAACGTGTAGGTTGCTGTAGCACTCGTCAGATTAATGACGTAAACACAGCACAATGCTGGGGCTATAATGCTGGGATATTTTTGCAGAAATTAACTTTTTAACCACTGACTCTTCATAGCCTCTTTGGGCAGGAAAAATAACACTAACTTTCCCTCACAGTTCAGAGCACAGCGTCTTTGTGACATGATTCAACAGGGATCTGCTTTGAGTCAACTCTTTGATGAATCAATAGTTTTAAACATGGTGCACTTTCAGATTTAAGCTGGGTATTTCACTTCACTTTAAGCTGTGTTACACACTGCATGAAAGGCCATTTTCAAAAACCCATAATAGGGGCTCTTTAATTACTTTCCTTACAGTAATATTTGTTTAAAAGTTCTTTATTTATTTACTGATGAGGATACTGACCTAACCTATATTTGTATTATTCAATTTTTATTATTGTAGTATTAAATGTGTTAAATTATAATCTTTTTTTTTTTGATAGGACAAGTGAAAATCTTTTCCAACTGGGATATTCGAAAAAAAAAAAAGTCTTTGGCATTTAACCTGTACAAGTCTAAAATTTCATTCATAATAGTCTTATAAAGGTCTTAAATTTAACTTGGTGAATACAGGTCCTGAATAAAGTAATAAATAAATAAAAAAATACCCTGAATAAAGGTCATGTTTAGAACAAAAGAGCAAAAATAGAACAAAACTAATGTCAAACAGCCATCTAAATATGCAAATGTGCTACAAAGGAAAATGAGCTGAACCTCTGACCACAGTTAAGGCTGAGTTACAGTAAAATACATGCAAAACACCATGGACAAGAATACAAAAAAAGAAAAAATATATGATTCTAGTACAAAAGACAGACACCTGAAAGTGGTGCTTACAGTATGAAGCAGCAGAGATCATTTGAAAAAAAGCAGCCCGGATCTTATAAACACTGCTTTTTATGGGATTATACGAAGAGACAGAAACATTTATAAACATTTCCTTAGTAAATTTCCTTCAGATATGCATACAGTACAACATCCAACCACCACCATAAATTTATCCGTTCTGCAGTCTCATGGAAACTCCTGTTATAGTATTTTACAGTCTTTGATATGTACTTATAAGAGCCATAAGTTCATTGTTTTATTTATGTTAAATTGATAATAATGTAAAAGGCAACCTTGAAAATATTTTACTAAAAGTAATTTAATTTTTAATATAAAGTATATGCTGATGTCACTTCCGGTAAGGAAGAAGTTTTGTCATGAAGATGGAAGCAAGACAGTTTTTTTGACCGTGTATTATAGTTCAGTTAAGTTGTTATTAAACATGTTCGAAATGACATCACTGGACTGTCTTATGTTACCCGCGTTCAAATCCTGCTAATTCAAAGAGAGAAACAAAACAAGAAGAGACAGATTGATGGCACATACAGTACTCAAATGTATATATTTTTTACTTGTTCAAACTACTTAATTAAAATGAGCTGAAACAACACAATTCTTGAGATTTCATTGGGACAACCTAATATTGTTTGTTCAATCTACATAAATTTGTTAAAAGTGTTAAATTAACTTAATCAATTTGTGTTGGAACCCTGCATTTTTACAGTGTACATTTTGTCTACAGTTTATGGATTATGATTATTAGCTGGCATTTTGGTGCAGTGCCAATTTTTAACTGAGGCAGATAGTGAATCAGAGAGGTTTTTAGCTTTTCGCATAAAAGGTAAATCTGGAGAAGAAACAATTTGAGTGTGTGAATAGCAGAAACAACTTGAAACACTGCTAGTTAGGTATGCAGTGCTGAGAAGTGTTCTGGAATAGTTGACCAAAAACCGAAAATGTTTCCTCATTTGCTCACTCTTCACTAGTTTCAAAACTGTTTGAGATTTTCTTTTGTTAAACAAAAGAAAAAATAATACTAAAGGAAACAGGACACCTATAACCATTGACTTCCATAGTATTTGTTTTTCCTTTTATGGAAGTCCACGGTTACAGTTTTCAGCTTTCTTCAAAATATCAGCTTTTGTCTTCAGCAGAATAAAAAACTTTGGAACAGCTTAAGGGTGAGTAAATAGCGATTGTGTGTTTATTTTTAGGTGAATTACCCCTTTAGGGTACATGTAGACTTAAAGGATTTAACATAAATAGACCATTTTGAATAAGCCATTGGGGAGACCTAACTTTTGCCCACTCTCTTATTTTACAAGATCTTACATTCTGGTCTACGATTTATTCTGGCCAAGAATTTCCCACTTATACAGGAAGAGGCTGATTAATTAGCATTTAAACCAACCAATTAAATTTTTTCTTCTGAGATTATTCAAAGTAATGAAACTGGAAAGGAATAAATCAATTGAAGAGTTCAGATGCAAAAAAACTCAACAAAAAAAAGTGCCGTCTGAAATTTCCATCGAAATGGAAATTTTTCTCAGCCTCCTATGTTTATGTGGATTTATTTCACTTTAAAACCATAACAAAGGACTTATTCTTTGCCATAAAAGTGATATTACTGAACTTACACACAGGCGCCTGATAAATATGCTAGTTTTAAAAGAAAATTTCAGACAGCATTTAAAGGTTTTTGCTCTTCAATTCTTCACCAACCCCCCACCAAAAAAACCTAAATGTGTTATAATTTTGAAATTGAATGTAAAATTAATGTATGTATACAATTACTTATCTTTTCTTGTTTTTTTTTACTGATTAATACTCATAAAACAGAAAAGAAAGGAGATTATACATGGATCGGCTTAAGAACTTTTGTAACCCTAAAGTCACCTTTATTTCAGCACATGCATGTGAATGTGTGTAGGTGGATGTTTTAATTTGGTGTTTCAGGTAGTCTGGCTGGAATTGAGCATGTGAATTTCCCTCAACATGTGCCATTTGTCTGTGCAACGTGCATCAGACCGTGAAGGGAGGATTGAGGAATTTTTGTGGGCCCTTTATCTCAGACTAGTCTATATAGGTCATTTCTGATATTAAAGGTTGAATAAATGTGAGGTATATGGCTGTTATGTGATCAGATTTTAAACAATGCGCATATCGTAGTCAAAGGTATTCATGATAACATGAATAATATACTGGATATCTATAAAAGTGGTTTTCAAGCACGTTCTTGGAGGACTACCAGCACTTTATGTCTCCTTTGTCTTACACACCCTTTTTGAATCTTGCTGTCAACTATTTTCTTAGTATGGGGGACAAGGCTTGACATTAACTTTTTTGATCACCAGCCACTGTGGCTAGTTGTTTTACAACATTACTAGCCACTCTGCATTTTCACTAGCCACAATTTTGTTGTTGGGAAAATATATTTTATATGCATAAATATGACTTTGACATGCAAAAGTTCCTCGATTTAGATAAAGGGACTAGGCCAAAGAAAAATGAATGAATGAATATTTCTCAATAGGAAAATCACAAATCTGAACCTCCACCTCCCTGTGTTTCTCTTTTCAGTACAAGTGCCAAAGTGCCCGAAGAAACTCCAGTGGCAACGACATTGATTGTGAGGTCAGTGTATGTGCACGAATTTCTGCTTCATTTTGACATGATTGCGCAAAAAACATATCAAGTTTACGAATTTTCATATTTTTAAAACACTTACATTACCAAGCCTTTAAAGAAAATATTGATTTAAAGATTTAAAGAACACAGAAATGTCTATAATCAATATATGATATATTTTTGTAGTTATGGTCAGCATTTAATTATATAATATCATCAGTTACGTATTTGCTGTGTGCGAGAGCAATCTAATTTGTTCAGGAAATTCATGAAAGTGAACCCTGATTTTTTTATATGCATGTCTTCTTCTGTAGAACTACAATATATGAACACATTTTTACCAAGAAAGGAAACATTTGTGTAAAACAGACCATCTCAGTCAGAAAAGACTGAATTCATTCCAACATGACAAATGTTTGTTGTTACAGGAGGGAATGCGGTCTAATGATTTCTCCACAACTCTCACTGTCTTCGGTCTGAAACCCAGATCAGGTAAATCTTCTTAATCTATACAGTAGATGCCAATACTGCAAGGTTTGGTAGCTTTTGAGTCTAAATAAGTACTAAACATTATATTTAAATGCCCATTTAAAACTGTTTCTGCTTTGCTTGCTGCTTGAGAGCCATGTATTACAGGGTTTCCAAAGTCATTTCATACTAGAAACACACAAAAGTCATAACTAAAATTATTACGAACTGTAAAAAGCAATTAATTGCTTGAAACATGAGTAAAGCTAGTAAACCCTTATGTACTGTTGGGGATTTTTTCATTCACTCTGGAGTGATTTTGAGACTTTTTCTGTTTCAGCTAGCGGAATAATATTTTGTGACAAATCTTATTTTGACACATATTTTGAGAAAATGCTTTGACATTTTTAAAGAACTCAACGAAACACTCTGGACACATTTACTGCCTTTTTGTTATGTTAGGGAAGAAAACATCCACTGAAATAAACTGCTATAAAAATGCATCTGATAATTTCTATTTTTATTTCACTTTTTTGCATAAATCAGGGCTTATAAACCTCAGTCCTGATCAAAACTACTAGATTATTTCGAAAATTGTAGGATTTTAACTCTTAATTAGCCAAATTCTAATAAATAAATTGTGTCACTGATTTATAGCTTGGAACTATTGAGTAAGCTTATTTTAATTCTGAACATTGTTTGTTTACTTAATAAATTTAAAGCTCAGTTTTTCTTTTATTAAAGTCTACTAATTGCTTTAAAAGCAGTGGGTTTACTAACTTTTTAAATAGTAAAGTCCATTAATAGATTTTTACAGTGCAGCATTTAAGGTCTTTATTACATTAACAGTAGTTTTTCTCATGCACAGATTTCATCATAAAGTGTTGGTAAAGATTAGCATTTCTAATGAAAGATGTTGTCTTGAACTGTGGTCTTACTTTAGCGATAACGAGGTTTGCAGAGAGAGGTGGAATTTCTTTATCGTTTTTTTATGGCGTAGCATTTCATTGGAAAGCAAAAGGAAGGCCCATACAAGTGCTAATCTTGAAAGGTCAGCCAATGGAGACCTCAAAACTTCACTGGAAAGCACAAGGAAGGTCCATGCTTTCTATCTCACAAAAATACAATGACAGTTCAGCAGAGTACAATTCCAAACCACTTGTTTTGAAATGTTATCTATTACAAGTGCTTCCTTTTAGCATTTAAACAGATATGTATTTAAAATATGTGAACGTTGCTAAGATGCACTGATAGGTGCTGTGAATAAGCCATTGTGTTAACAATCATTAAATCATCATTCAAATGTTTTGATGTTTCTTGTCTGTATAATATAGCATAAAAGCATCGACAAAGAAGAATAAAACATCATTCTTTCTATGTTTGTCCTGAAATTAGATCTAATATCATGTAGAAATGTATGTACACAGAGATCTGAAAAGTGCCTAGCAATTTTGTTCAATAAATAACTCTCTGTCTCGAACAATAATACTTTAACAGTTTGAGAAACAAAGTATAAGTCAGTTGATAAATAATAGTTGATAACATGTTAATGAAATAATAGAAGATAATAATAGCATTATACCTTAGGTGTATCTTATTTTCTAATAAATCAGACTGAAGTCAGTTGATCTGCTTATACTATGGTACTTATGGTTACCACATTTTCAGATGTTGTATTTTAAGACATCTTAAAGGTCCTATGAAATTAAAATTAAGTTTTTGTAGATGTTAGTATCAGTATTATTCGTTTTTAGGATATCTATAAGCTAGTGTGCTCTAAAACAATGACAAAATTCACATTTAGAAGATAAAAAACTGATATAAACATGTAAAGTTTGTAGTTACTTCTGCCCAAATGGATCACCGGTGTTATTTACGTCACCACAGTACACCACAGTTTCTCATCATATAATAACCAATCAAATGCTCTCTAGTATGTGTCATGCCCCGCCCTCTTCAAGATGTCTCTCATTTTCTTTTCATTTGATACGTTGAGCTAAACCCCTCTTGCTGGCCGAGCTGTGATAAAACAAAACACTGTTGGCTGTTTTTGAAAAAGGTGAGGAGCTACACTATGTCCAACCTCTCTTTATGTTTCGGTTGAGATTACATGAAACATAGAATAAAAATGCATATTTCAAAGCACTTCACGGGACTTTTAGGACAAATTTTGAAAGCACAAATTCCAAACCCTTTTTGTTTTGATTTGATTGGATTTCTGACTGCTGTCAAAGTCCCTTTAAGGCAAGTCATTTCACTTGGCGGCCATCTTTGAAACGTCTCTTGGGCAGTGTGCTTGGGCATTCTGTCTGCATGGGGAAACATCCGATTCTCCAAAACTGTTTGCCAAGCGTACGATTACACTACATGTTTGGAATCACAAATAAAAGCAAACGACTGTCTCAAGTTTCATTTCTAACCGTCCAAATCAAACGAAATCAGCATATTTTCAGGTTGCCCAACCTCATTTACACATTTCTACACAATATCATCCTTAAGATAATGCTACACCAGATTGCACTGTCTTCTGAAGTAAGCCACAACTTGGTCTTAATGGTGAATCTCCTTCAGAAATGACAATGAGTCTTTTTTTACAAGTTTGTTGCTGTCATGTGATGTTCATTTGACAGGATGGACTGTATACCTCACGTTTGTTTTATACAGATTACAAAACCAGAAAACGTTTGTTATCAAGTGCACATGGTTCATTCAATAGTACAGATTTCTAGCTGGATATATTTCTAGCTTGGATATATTCTATGTGTATTCTATAGTGTTTGCTGCTGTAGGCTGTGAAATATCTGAAATCATTGAGTGTAGTGATATGAAACTGTAATGTGGTCAATTATCTTGGCTGTGCATTTATCTGAAAATAATTGCACACATTAGGATGTTCATCATTTTATCAGAATCAAGGATTCAACAGAGTACAACAGAGATTATTATATCCAACTTTGACTTTTTTCGTCAAGGCATGTTAATGTACAGACAGAGCAGTCATTGTCTTTAGTCTTTTTGAACAGATTTGTTATTTCTGTGTTAAAACCTTCACAGAAGTATTAGATGTAAAAGTTTATAGTTTGAATAGAAAATGCCGATGTCTAAAGGGAGTCGCACCCTGGATGCCCCACATTGCAACTTATCTTTCAGAATTGTAAACAGTTTTATATGAGGGCACGAACATCGGGGCCACCTTTTAGCATCTGTTCGTGTTGCTGTCTATAGACATCTATTTAAAAACATGACAAGCCATGGCATAGTGCATCCATTTTGTGTCCCACTTCTGATAAAAGAAAATAATTGTTTGAAAGCAACTTGACACTGCAAATAAAGATTGCAGCAATCACAATGTTAAGCAAATATATATATATATATATATATATTAGGTAAGCAATCATTACAGTTTTTGTCTCTGAACAATATGTTCAAGTGATTTTTCAAAAATGCCGATTCATCCTGCAATTAAATGTTTTTGGATTTTTGATTATTAATTCTAAATTAACTTTTAAAAAATAATGTTTTAATTTTATAATATAAAATAAATTTTATTTTTGTGTAATTTATAACATAATTGGGGCCACGGTGGCTCAGTGGTCTCACTGCAAGAAGGTTGCTGGCTTGAGTGCTGGCTTGGTCAGTTGGCATTTCTGTGTAAAGTTTGTTCTCCCTGTGTTGGCGTGGTTTTCCTCCAGGTGCTCCAGTTTCCTCCACAGTCCAAAGGCATGCGGTATAAGAGGACTGGATAAGCTAAACTGATCGTAGTGTATGAGTGTGTGTGAATGTATGGGTATTTTCCAGTACTAGGTCATCAGCTGCATAAAAAATATACTGGAATAGTTGGTGGTTCATTCCTCTGTGACAACTCTTGATAATCAGAGACTAAGCTGAAGGAAAATTAATGAATGAATAGTTATATAATTTTCATTTTTAGGGAAACTAACCCTTTAATGAACACACTGCAGTCATTGAAAGTGTAGATTAAAAGATTCAGAATTAATGAAGATTGTGTGTTTTTTACTCAGCCTTCTCCCGTGGAAACCGTCAAGACTTCAGCTCCACAGACCCAAGCTTCACCATGAGGAGGAAGATGGAGCACCTTAGGGAGGAGATGGAGCAGATCAAACTTTTGCGGCAGGTCAGAATTCCTTGTGTTGCGAAGTTAAAAGAAAAAGCTAAAAGGATTGAGTCATACACCATAACTATGGTAACGCACATGAAGGCAATAAAACACACATGCAAACAAGTTCTGTTTCGATGTATACGTCCCTGCCCATTTTTGCCTAGAGGTTTACTGTTAACAATTCTCTTTAAATTTGTTATTAGTGCTGATGGAGTCTGCGCATGCATCATTGTCGAGTCATGATAAAGATCTTTTACAGACAATAAATACTACCTTGTAATCAAGTCCTGTCCTTTTTAATTCCGCAGAAAGTACAAAGAGATCAGGAGTTGAAGTCACTGTGCAGGGCATGAAACCCTTATTTACTTGTGCGTCACAAGCTATTGACATGCACGCTATATGAGCTGCTTGCTGTATTTAAGTTACACTTGCTGTATGCACCATTTTTCAACAAAGAAGTAAGTTGAAGGAGCAAGATGTTTATTAGCTGGTAAATAACTAGAAGGGAAAAAAATTACTAAACAGTTTGTGCTACAAATCATTTATGATCATGATAATGCATTCAGTTATAATATCATAACAAATATTAGGCAGAAAATAATTACGAATAAGGTACGAATATTAAACAGCTTAGTTCTGTAAACAGAAATGTTGACCAGGGTTGGAATGTAACAAGTACTTGTGACTAGAGATCTTCCGATACTCTTTTCGCCTACCAATGCCAGATTTCCAATATCTGGGTGTGTATCAGAACATACAGCTGTATGTACACAACTAGTCCTGTGTAAATTGAAAGAACTATTTTATTTTATGTTGTGCTTGAGGAGTATCCCTTAATAAATGATGAGCAAGTGTGTGTGTGTATGTATAAGCAATATTACACGAGTAGCAGTGTGAGGTGGCTGTATATCGGCATTGGTGGAAGGCGTGGGTTGGCATGAGGCCACAGGCCATGCGATATACAGCCATATCACATAGCTATGATGAGTGTAATATTGCTTTTATACAACAGTTTGACAGCATAATTGTGTATGTAAAGAACAAAAAACACAGTGTCTTAAAACCTTTTTGTAAGAGGAACTACTTTCTTCCGCCACTCATTCACATCTGCAGCTGAGATCAGAACAGCAGAAACCGTTACTAATTGACCAACGTCATTTTAGAGTTAGTATCTGAATAATTCAGATGACAAAACTGGGGATTTTGCTGACACTGTAAGATTACAAGGCTGAACTGCCATCAGTCTAAAGACATTTCCCAGTATTTCAAGCAGGATATCACAATAATTAACCCCGAAAAGGCCAAAGCAACACAAACATTTTTCTTTCTTTCTGTTCAATGAACTAATCTGCAGTAACGAAAATGGGAGGGTTATTAGTAACCAAAAAGTTAACTCAGGGTTATACAAAGAGTGGCCAACACAAAATACATACATTTCTAGTATGTGAGTTCCATCTCACACTCAATACACTACAATTATATGGTATAAATACAGCACTGCAACATCAAAAAGAGAGAGATCGACTTAGAAAGTCCCTCCAGTTTAATAATGATTGGATAGGCTGTAGTTTTTCCTCCTCTATAGGTGTATTATGCAGTCTCTGTCGCAATCTTGTGAATAGCGCTGCATAGTTGCAATCTAAACAGCTACGTTCTTACATAAAAAAAGCCTCAAAAGTACTTTATGTCCAACAGCTGAAATATTTGGCAAACTATAGTGAGTTATTGATCTGCTGTAACTCTATGTGGGCGGAGTAATACAGAAGTGTGAGGAGGCTGTAGAGGCAATCTTAGTTATGCCAAAAATGCTGGGTCAGCTTTTTATTTTTACTTTCAGTTTTTAATTAATTTTAATTTTTTTGCCGCAGTTATTGTAAAACGTTTAGTTTGTTCTGGAAACTATTGCTGACATTTCTTCCAAATCTAAAATAAATATTATTTATATTTTATATATTTATTAAAAAAAAAAAAAAAAATATATATATATATATATATATATATATATATATATATATATATATATTTTTTTTTTTTTTTTTTTTTTTTTTTTTGCATAAAATAAAAAGGTGCCATGCTTCCAGCAATGCTTACATTCCTTCCTAGATAAAATAATACTAGTTTGTGAAATAACCCTATATTTCAAATATTATTTGTTATTCTGACAAAATGTTTCGTAAAAATTTAAATTTGAAAGACATGTCATCAGACATTTAGAGAATTAAACAAATATTTAAATTCTACCAAATCCCATATCTAATGAATAAAAAAAACAAAAAAACAAAACAGAGAAATTGACAATTTTATGATGATCTTTTAAATTAGTCTATAGCTGTAATTAGATTACTCATAGAAATGCATTTAGATTTACATGTGTGGTGGAGTGATGTGGGGTTGACTGATCCTAAAGCAGCCATGTCTTATCTCACATCTTCCTTCACTTCAGCTTCTGCATCTGCTCTCCTTGGTGCTGAAGAGCCACTCATGTGATGCCTGAATCTCTAAACAAAGCACTTACAGAGCCTTATCTTGACATTTAGCCTATGGGTGATTCTTTGTTAACGTGACATACTTACCTGTTATTTGGAATGGCTAATTTGCAAATGAAACAAACAGAGCCCTTGTGTGTGTTTGCAGAACCTCGAGTCAAGGTTAAAGGTTTTATTGCCAGATGACGTGGGCGCTGCGCTGATGGATGGTGTCGTTTTATGCCATCTAGCCAATCACATTCGTCCCCGTTCGGTCGCCAGTATTCATGTACCCTCCCCTGCCGTGGTAAGTCGAATATCCTATATCAATAAAGGATATTTACCTCAGAACTTCAGTCAAATAAGATTGTATTATATTTGAGCTCTTTTAAATATTCATTAGTAAATTTCCAGCATTCAAATCAAGCAGGATTTTGATTGTTGATGCTCTACTTTCTATAACTTTTATTTGTTTCTACTTTTTCTAATAGCCAAAGCTAAGTATGGCCAAATGTCGGCGCAATGTGGAGAATTTCTTGGATGCTTGTAAAAAGCTTGGAGTGCCACAGGTGGGATTGAGTGTCTCTTTCTTCTGAATCCATGATATTTTAACACTATATGGACTATTAGCCAATATCTCTATGTTTTTTTTTTATTTATTTATTGGTATAAGCTCAAACTGAAACCACCAGGATTTAAACCACTCTACAATGTCTATAATACATATTTTCCCATGTGTGGTGAGCATTTGTGGATGAAGTAATTACACTGTAAACAATGCTGTAAAATTTACAGTATTTCTGGCAATTTTGGTTTCCAGTATAACTAAAATTTACAATTATTCATTTTAATTCAATATTATTTTTTGTTAACAGTGTGCTTGCACATTTTACAGGATTAAGGCAATTTTTACAGTATTGCTGATGTTACAAATTTAATTAAAAATCCTTAATCAAAAATAAGTTTAACAGAAATGTAAAAAGATAACTGGGATTAAAAACATAATCCCTTATGCCCCCGAGCTCTCTCCCCCCAAAATATAAACTAAAACACAAACCACTGAGAATTAACAAGAAAATATGATTCATTTACCGAAAATTAGGAGCAAAATAACACCGGGAGGGGTTAGGCCAAAAAAGGGGTTAGGTCTGTTGGCATATCCATGTGGAGTTCTCCTTGTGTTTGCATGGGTTTCCTCAGGGTTCTCCGGTTTACCCCACAGTCCAAAAACATGCACTATAGGTCAATTGGGTGAGCTTAATTATCTGTAGTGTGAATGTGAATGTGTGTATGGTGTTTCCCAGTCATTGGTTGCAGCTGGAATGGCATCCACTGCATAAAACATATGATGGATAAGTTGGCGGTTCATTCCGCTGTGGCGAGTCCAGATTTATAAAGGGACAAAGCCAAAAAAAATGAATGAATGAATACATAAATGAGAATAAACCAAACTAACTAAAGCAACCTTACCCTGAAAAAAAAATAAGAAAATAAAATACAGAAAACTTACCTCTCTACTAACAACACAGGAGAAAACAAAAATAATAAACAGAAAGCACTAAAACTCCCTACCATGCTCCAAGCCAGACAGGGAGGCAGAAAACCGTGTGTCTCCAGTTAGAATGTACAACTTCACATCGGCATCTCCCAGTGATGTTTTGCAGCTGGAAGGGCATCTGCTGCGTAAAAAAAAAATTAGCTGGATAAATTGGCGGTTCATTCCGCTGTGGAGACCTTAGCTTAATAAAGGGACTAAGCCGAAAATAAAATAAATGTAATTGTTAGAGTAAACCAAAATTGCCAGTAATACTGTAAATTTTACAGCATTTTGTACGGTGTAGAGATGCATTTGTTTCCTCAGTGGGATTTTAAAGAACTTTACCTGTTTTTTTCAGCAATTTGAATTGAATCAATCAAAAGAATAAAGATATTTATATTGTTGCAAAAAATCTGTTTTAAAAAGAATATGTGTCATTGTTGGAATTTACCGGATTTTAACATAGATTGTAAGTAAAAATGTTACTTGACTATTAAATTGTCATATCGGAATGTTTTCTGAAGGATCATCTGAAACTGAAGGCTAAGGAATAAACAATATTTGACCATAAATTCAATCAGAATACTGTTATATCAAAATTTAACAAAATATTAACATTTTTAATTAACATTTTTGGTCACACTTTATTTTGGTGGTCTGTTTGTTGAATTTAAGTTACATTGCATCTACATGCCAACTGATTCTCATTAAATTATAAGTTGACTGTTAGGGTTAGTGTAAGTTGACATGTACTTGCAAAATTTCCTATAGTCAGTTAAATGTCTGTTGAAGAAGCAGTATCAGCAAATGTTAAGCAGACAGTCTACTAATACTCAAATGGACCATCAAAATAAAGTCTTACCACATTTCTATGCAGTGACAACTAAAGACTTGTCATTCAAAAACCTTAAAACTCCCACCAACCCCAAACTCTTAAACAGCATTGTAAATATTAGATGCGATTAACATTTGTTTTTACCATGTATTCTTATTAGCAAAGCAGCAATATCAGTTCTTCGTCTATTTATACTGCTCTAAAAATAAAGGGAACACTTGAACATAATGTAACTCCAAGTGTTTCCTTTCTTTTTCTATTTATGCTTACATTTGCTTGTTTGTTTATCAACAGGACCAGTTGTGTTTGCCACATCACATTCTGGAGGAGCGAGGTCTGGTAAAAGTCGGCGTCACCGTTCAGGCTCTGCTAGATCTTCCGTCATCGAAACCCAATCAACTTTCCACCATGTAGCACCGCTAGATCATCTCATCTTTCTGTATCCTGCCTTACCACCTCATCCCGTCCCTTCTCTGTCAATGCTGATCTTTGACCTACCATGGGGAGACCACGACCCTTCAGGCCGGCAATTTCCCCCTACCTCTAATAAGCCTCTCTGGAGGGCTCGAGACCTTTTAATGCTCTGTTGGAGAGGAATTGCAAGTTAATGCCACACGTTTTATTCCGAGGGGAAATATCTGTTTATATTTCACAGCTGGACACTTTTTTGTTTGGTGTCTTCTCCTCATCTGTCTGGTGTTCACTCTTCTCTTGGACCGGTGAGCCCACAGTGGGTGAGGACAGGAGAAACGCATGCAGCTTTATGACTGATTCTGGAACAGAGGGATGGTGTTATATCAGTGCCACCACAACCCTCTTCTGTATGAAGTCAACAAGAGCTGTCTGTCATTCAGTTTCGTCGTGTCTGTCTCAAAAAAATGAGTGGGGAAGGAACATCTGTTGCACGTTCAACCAGGCGAGCACAGAGTTGGCATATAAAGGTATCACGGCGATCAGGTGAGTCACGGGCAGAGCTTTAGACAAGATTTATGTTTGATATCACGTGCCTGCACAAGACAAAGACGTTTTTATGCTCTTACGTGCATTCAGATGTTTTTGTAACTGGTTTGCCACACGTTCTGTTTAGCTTTTCGAGTTCTCATGAACAGTCTGGAATTCACAACAGAGTTCCTGAACGTTTCACACGTGCCAGTCTGTAATTGCATATCATAAAATTGGGACTCTTCAGGTTGCAGGCCTGAGCAGGAATGAATAGTGAATAGTCTCAGCTCAAACTAGGTCAGTTATTTATATACAGTGCTGCATGAAAGTCTGTGAACCCACTGTGGAATTGGTGAAAATGTGGATAATGGTAACACGAAAAGAGAAATCGTACAAAATTAATGTTATTGCAGGACACTTGTGAGACTCAAACACAACTATTACAATAGAGTTTTAGATTTTAGCTCCAACTTGCCTTAACACACCTGCAAGCTTGATTAGCTAGCCCAGGTGTGTCGAATTGGGGTTGGAACTAAACTTTGCAGGACAACAACCCTCCAGGACTAAGTATGGACACCGCTGGAATAAAGGATAAAAAGGAAACGCGATGGGTTAAGAAAACTTAATGTTAAGACAACTTTTGGAATTTGAAGATACTTCTGCCATTTCCACACTTGTTTTTGTTTAATGAACATATATTTATTTAAATTTTGGCCTTTTGACCACACTAATGCCGAGTTCAGACTGCATGATTTTAGCTCCGATTTTGACTCGCAGGCAAATCGGTGCTCGTGCACGAGAGTGTCAATCACACAGTATGAACTATCAAAGACGCGATCTGAGTGAATCGCAGATGAGTTGCCGATGCCTGTGAGGTATTTGGCATGCTAAATATCTGAAGCTGTCGGCGATTCAAATCATGCCATGTGAAATGAGGAGTTTTGACTGAAAATAACATCGGCGATCACCTAGAGCCAATGAGAGAGCAGCATTCCCTTGTTTGTGTGTACCTGCAGGCCAGTGGAAAGTTGGGGGAGAAGTTAAAAGCGTTCATTTTCAGTTTACTGTATTTGGACCCAAGAAATGGAGGAAAAACTAGTGGAGGTTTGACTGGAGCACCCATGTCTGTTTGACGTTTTATACTGAGAGTTAAAAAAGAAAGTTGAGGAGAAATTGCTAATTCCCTTCAAAGCCAGGTGAGCAAATATGTCCATTTTCTACCCCATTAAAGTCTTCTTTCTCATTATGTAGTTAAAAATAAAAGATATACTACGTGTTTTTGGCTGTGAGACGTAGTTAAGATGAAGTTGTTGGCGATTCTTCCTATTGTAAAGTCATGCAATGTGAAAGCCCCTGTCGCCGATCCATCTTGCAGTGTAAACAAAGCAGCGACAAAACGCTAGCCCAGATAGTTATGCAGTGTGAAAACATCTGTGACATGATTACTTTAAATATCATGCAGTCTGAACTCAGCATGAGATGGCTTTTTTTTGTAAATGATAACATATTTTTGGAAAACAATGATGAACTTTTAGTCATGTGACCAATTTAGTTACACTGGTGGATAACATTGACAAAGATTATTTATACTGTGGATTGGTTTTCTTCAGATGGCACAGAATGTTTTCTTCCGGTCCACATTCTTGCTTGTTTTTGCAACTTTATACTCCTTTGTTACACGCAGCAACAACTCCACCTCACTATCGGCCCATTTATAAAACTTGCTGCTTTTCCTTGAAATATTGCTGTGATGTTTCAAAGAGCTGGAAAGTGAATAAATGCGAGGAAGAAAAAATGCAGGTCAGAGTGATTTATATCTTAACATAATTTGTCTTCTGAATACATGAAAGTATTTTTCTGTTATTTCTGGCAGAACTAATTTCAGCAAAATGAGAAAAACATCTTCATCCTGTTTAAAGATTCACAAAAGGTTCACAAACTTTTAAGCAGCATTGTATTTACACTACCTGACAAAAGTCTTGTCATCTATCCAAGTTTTAGGAACAACAAATAATAACTTGACTTCTAGTTGATCATTTGGTATCAGAAGTGGCTTTTATGAAAGGCAAAGGCCTCTAGATTATGCTTATTTAACAACAATAAAATATGATCATGCCTTGATTTTTTATTATTTAATTAGGACAGTAAGGTCTGACTTTGCTTAGACAAAAGTCTTATCACTGAACAGAAATAATGTACAGTAAATAATATAATAATGTACAGTAAAGAAAAGTTATGCTGCAGTGGAAAAAGAAATTGTATTGTGTTTGACCCCCATGAGCTTGGGCGACTGCATCCAAACATCTTTGTAATCACTCAAATAACTTATTAATAAAGTCATCTGGAATGGCAAAGAAAGCGTTCTTGCAGGACTCCCAGAGCTCATCAAGATTCTTTGGATTCATCTTCAATGCCTCCTCCTCCATCTAACCTCAGACATGCTCAATAATGTTCATTCTGGTGACTGGACTGGCCAATCCTGGAACCTTTTGATCTTCTTTGCTTTCAGCTGCTTTGATGTGGAGGCTGTAGTATGAGAAGGAGCGGTATCCTGCTGAAGATTTTGCCGTCTCTAGTTGTTTGTAATGTAATAGGCAGCACAAATGCCATCCACTCTGCAGATCTCTCGCACACCCCCATACTGAATGTAACTTCAAACCATTATTTTTCCTTCACCAAACTTGACTGATTTCTATGAGAATCTTGGGTCCATAAGGGTTCCAATAGGTGTTCTGCCGTATTTGTGATGATTGAGATGCAGTTCAACAGATGATTCATCTGAAAAATCTACCTTCTGCCACTTTTACAAATGATAAACTAGACATCAAGTTATTATTTGTTGCTCTTACAACTTTGGTTGACTAATAATGATAATACTGATAATGGTTTTAGTCCTTTATAGAATAAATCAGCTATTAAAGTAATCTTTACATTTTTCCCACACAATTTCTAAAAAATAATAAAGCGTGCTGAAATATCAGTAAGTCATGAGAACCAAAAAGACAAATCATAGCCATGAAAGACACATTTTTATACACATACATGGATTTTGTAGACAGATTTTCTCATTGTTTTTGTCTCATGTAAAAACAAAGGAACCAGAACAGTCTTTGATGCTGGGAAAATCTAATCAAGCTGTAGGGGATTTGATGCGCAGCAGGTCACTCACCACAGCAAACTGTGAAGATTTTAAGACATGTTTGAAAATGTACAAATGCTTTTGTTTTATTAAGGAAATTATTTATTTACTTGTATGTACTTCTGAATGTTTAATTTATTTATTTCTTTGGGTTATGTTGACTACTTTATCAACCTCAGAAAAACTCTGACTATAAATCAGCAATACCATTTCAAAAGTCTGGAGTGTAACAGTTTCAAGATGATGAAAAACTGGATTAGCCACCTCGAAAAGTGTTTGTTCTTGAAGTTATTTGCAGTCAATAGCTGCATTCATGTTATCTCCTAATTACAGTAATTATGAGATTCCAACTTTAAAAAAAATAGGTCACATCTCATAATTATTACTTGTAAACTGAGGATTTTCAGAGAGTTACAGATTGTGCCACGTGACCACTGCACCGCATGAGTGCCATAGATTGATTTAGATGCTGCTGTATATTTAGGTTTTGACTATGTTGCCAAGTTTGGACACATAAAAAGCTCCAAGTAGACCGTCCCTTTGTCATCTCAAAATTACGATAATCACAAGACTCGACAAACACAGCTCATTTCCATGTAACACTGCTTTTATATACACTGAAAGCTGTTTATTATAAGAAAGCTGTTTAGGATTAGATGTAGAATCTTTGTTCATGTTTAATTACGTAGGAAATAGGTTTACAAAGAAATCGGTCTTGGAATGCAGTACTGGTACACTGGTAAACACACACAAACAAATAACTTTGTAATTATAAAAAATTGGTCTGTTGCTGTTCCAAAAAAAATATTCCCAGAAACTGTCATTTAAGAGGGTAACAAACTGGTCTTGTTTTAAAAATTTTGCTTTATTGCACATTCCCATGATTCCCATTAGTCTCATTGGCTTCAAGTCTTTGGACTTTAAAAAAAATCTGAATCCTATTATATTTATGGCCATATGTGCAAAAAGAGCAACTATAGGTCCACATTGTACCAATAAATTTCCATACCATATCAAAATACCATAGTTAATCACTCTTGAAAACAGATTGATCCAATTAAGACCTTTTTTATATTTTAACCCCAACAAGAAGCAGTCTCTTCATCAGAAAGCAGTCTTTGCTATCGTTTTGAACATGGACTCTTAGTATAAGCGGACTAATTCATGGAACTGTCCATATGAGCCTCCAGATATTTATGTGAATGTCCTTGTAGGATGAAATGAGTTTTCCCAGATGTTTTGTTTGACCGTTCCAGTTCTCCTGAACACTCTGTGTCACAAATTCACTACTGAATTGCTGAACGTTTAGCTTGTAATCGTAGAAAACTACTTATAAAGCATACAGTACCAATTGGGACTCAAGCTCAGATTATAAGTGTCATCTGAGAAAAATAGTTATTGGTAAGACTTTATTTTGATGGTCCATTTAAACATTAGTAGACTGTCTGCTTAATATACTGTATGTTGATACTGCTCCTCCAACAAACTTTTAACGAACTATAAGAAACTTTGCAAGAACATGTTAATTTACACTAACTCTAGCCACAACCCTAACCCCAACCTATATAATCTAATGAGATTTAGTTGGCATGTAGATGCAATGTAACTTAAACTCAAGAAAATGTAGCTTCAAAATAAAGTGTGACCTCGTTTTTCAGACTACTGGTGCTCTTTATCCCTGAAAATATTTGTTAAAAACACTTGGCAGAATAGTGATTCACTTTCAAAGTAAGTGGTGTAAAAGAAAATTGATAGCAGGATTAAAATCTTGGCAAAATATCCCCTTGTGTGCTGATCTTCTGCACATGCTGACATTTGGCACAGTAATTTTTATCCTTGTAAATTATACTTATAGTACAGTGTAAAAATAAACTGTAAATTGACAGTTTTTCAGGGGCATATCACAGGCGACACAGTGGGTAGCACGATTGCCTTACTACAAGAAGGTCGCTGGTTCGAGCCTCGGCTGGGTCAGTGGGTTTTCTTCTGGTGCTCCGGTTTCCCCCACAAGTTCAAAGACATGCGCTATAGGTGAATTGTGTAAGCTAAAATTGGCCATAGCGTATGTGTGTGAATAAGTGTGTATGGATGTTAATGGGTTGCAGCTGGAAGGGCATCCGCTGCGTACAACATATGCTGATGTTGGTGGTAATATTCCGCTGTGGCGACCCATGATTAATAAGGGGACTAAGCTAAAAGGTTAATTAATGATGACTGTTTTTCATATTTTATTATTAATTTTTTTACACTTTCTGTATTTATGCTTTTGATTTTATTATGGAATCTTAAACTTTCCTCAAAATCTTATAATGTCCAAACATTCGACAAAGTGACATTTTGAATAGTTTGAAGTGGTATATTGCACTCAAAAAATAGTTGTGTTGTTTGTTCAAACAACTTATTTACAATGAGTTATTATTAAAAACAACAGAATTCTTGAGCTTTTTTGAGACAAGTTAATATTTTTATGTTTAAACTACTTTAATTTGTGAAGACTAAGAAGTTTGTCCCACCGCAAATTGATTGTATGGAACCCAGCATTTCTTACAGTGCGTCAGGGTTGGTGTTGTAAATTATGGTACAAAAGCCTACATTTTTTCTAGTACTTTTTTTTTGTCATTTTACAAACTTAATACAAACCCTGCTCATTCTTAAAACGCAGCCATATATACATTTCTGGAGAGCGCAAAAAACATCCCAGGAGGCCACCAGAGGCCGCTGTGTACACTTTTAAGGTCTCAAAATTATCTCGCAAGTGCCATTTGCACCTGTTGTTCTCACGTAAAACCACTATAGACCGCTGACCAACTGACCGATCCCCACACC